ACAAGCAGCTGATCTTATACAAAAAATAGCTAATGTTATGAAATTATGTTCAGAAGAAAAATTAATGGGACAATTAGGACTTGTTTTATATGAATATCTTGGTGAAGAATATCCGGAAGTTTTAGGAAGTATTCTTGGAGCATTAAAAGGTAAGAAGAGGTTTTATTCTTATTTAATAGAAATGAATAATTCAATATTTTTATTTTGTAGGAATTGTTAATGTTATTGGTATGACTAATATGACACCACCTATTAAAGATTTATTACCAAGATTAACACCTATTTTGAAAAACAGGTAAAATTTTGTCGTATTGCTTATTTTCGGATATAAATGATTAAATTTGTATGTAATTAAATGGACTACGTATTTCTCTTTGAAATTAGATTTAATTTACAAAATCCTAGAAGAAGAAAGTTCTCTATCAAATTAATTAATTGAGAATGCGAATGTGTTCTTTTGTGATAACATATGTTGAAACAAAAATACGACGAAAATAAATATAAATATTTTTCGGTATAATCTACAATGCATATGCATCTGTATAAATGTCAAGATCTGTTTTGTTTGAACAAAAAATGCTGGAATCTTAACTTTTTTACTCAAAGATAGAGCAAAGTATGCACTTTGTAATCGATTTTCAGAATAAAATTTAGAATATGGTTTAAACTGCTAAAAGTGATTTTGTCAACAAGGTATTCAAACTTAAAAAAAAAAAAATCGTTTTGAAATATAGATTTTCTGAAAATCGATTTTTCTATTTTTCTGCCTATCCGGGCTAACCAAGAATCCGTGTTTGACGTAAAAATAGTAGGTTCTATGGCTTTCGGACAAAAAGGTTTAAACAATTATAAGAACACGAAGTTTTTAAGATATTTAAAATATGCAACTTTGTAAAAATACATTGTTGCATGTATTTGATATGAACTTTTTCCAATCATAACTAATATAGCTACTCACAATTGATATCCTCATTAGAGAGCGTTAAAATAAGTACATAGTCAAGATATGAAAGAGTTCCTTATGTGACTTTCTTAACAAGTCTTTTTTAAATGGTTTTAAATTACTTCATAACATTTATTTTGTATACACATTTCATAGTACATACTTTCCTCTATTTGTAAATGAAAAAATTTGGCTTCTAGCATTTTTCGTTTGAACATAGCAGATTTTGACATTGGTGCAGATACTTATGCATGATAGATTATTTGATTAAGCGGTACAAAAATAAATTATATTCAATTTTATCCCTCCACAATGATTTCAAAAGATTAATGAATAAAATAATCTTAGAAACAGAGTAGTAGTTCCACGAATATATTATTAGTGCAATCAGATCCATATAATGTTTTCCTTTGTAGTATAGGATGATTTTGGTTATTCGAGTGAACATATTGTAGAAAACAGAGATAGTAGCTGATATCCTATGGCATTGAAGTAATAAAACAAACGTAGATGTGAATACATAGAAACTAATTTTGATGCAGTATATGTGTTTTTGATACATATTGACAAATAATGAGTTATTTTTCTTTGAGATATTGTATTACAACTGAAGACATTTTATCCATATTAAGTGTTATTTCAACTTCTCATATGATGAGGTTGACAATACATAAAAATAAGTCTATTGTTGATTGTTTTGTGTTTACTCAATAGTGACAGCACGGTCTATTTTCGATTTATTGTCTGTAGTTCGTCAAGCCTTATATTAATCACTAGTAGGCTTCTTCATCAATCTGTATCATATAATAAGTTCTAAAAACTTTTATTTGCTGACAGTAGGGAATCTTTTGTATGTCCGATATTGAGAAGACGGAACGATGAAATGAAGTATTTGTCTTTTACTAATCGATAGCTCATTTAAAATTTGCTACAAAACATTTTTTTGAAGCTTTGAAATCTTCAAGTTTTATAATCGATCGATAAATAATCACTCCAGTGACCGGTAGAATGTAAAGGGTTAAAAAAAAACAAAAATTTGCAAATAAAAATCTTTATAAAAATTTCATGTCTCTTTTTCTTTTAAAATAGACATGAAAAAGTTCAAGAAAATTGTATTGATCTTGTTGGTCGTATAGCTGAATTAGGTGCCGAACATGTACCAGCTCGAGAATGGATGCGTATTTGTTTTGAATTACTTGAATTACTTAAAGCACATAAGAAATCAATTCGTCGTGCTGCTATTAATACATTTGGTTATATAGCTAAAGCAATTGGTCCACATGATGTCTTAGCTACATTATTAAATAATCTTAAAGTACAAGAACGACAATTACGTGTTTGTACAACTGTTGCTATAGCTATTGTATCTGAAACATGTTCACCATTTACTGTTTTACCAGGTAAATCTTTTTCTTTTTTCTTTTTCAACTTATATATGTATATTTTTTATTTTTAAAATAGGTTTAATGAATGAATATCGTGTACCGGAATTAAATGTTCAAAATGGTGTATTAAAAGCATTAGCATTTATGTTTGAATATATAGGTGAAATGTCAAAAGATTATATATATGCCGTAACACCGTTACTTGAAGATGCAATGATGGATAGAGATTTAGTTCATCGTCAAACAGCAATGACTGCTATTGGACATATGTCATTAGGTGTATTTGGTTTTGGTTGTGAAGATGCATTATGTCATTTATTAAATCATGTTTGGCCAAATATATTTGAAACAAGTCCACATGTTATTCAAGCATTTATATCTGCGATTGAAGGTTTACGTGTTGGTCTTGGACCATCTCGATTATTCTATTATGCATTACAAGTAAAGATTTATTTTTATAATCATAACAATTCATTATTTTTATTTTGGTTTGTTCTTTTTTTTTTAGGGTCTCTTTCATCCAGCTCGACGAGTACGTGATGTTTATTGGAAAGTCTATAATACATTATACATTGGTGCACAAGATTCTTTAGTTGCTGCTTATCCACGCATTGTTGATGATAATATTCGTCCAACAATAGATGAAAGTGAATCATTAAAGAAACGCATTGAAAAACCACGTAATGATTATGTACGATATGAACTTGATTATATCTTATAAAAAAAAACACAGACGATCATCATTGTTAATATATGACTTTAAAAATAAAACATTTGCATAGTCGTTTATTGTTTATGTGCGTATGTTTATTCTTTTCATTTCATCTTTTGATATGTATATGTACGTCAAATATTACGTGCGATATACTAATATACATTTAAAAAAAACACAAAACAAAGGACTAATTTTAAATAAAAAAGAAAAACCAACTGAAAAAAATTTTTCGTTCTTTTTTTCTTTTCTTTAATGTATTTACGTTTGTTTGTTTTCTTTGTTTTTCTTTTTTTTTTGTGCTGGTATTTTTCTTTCTTTTGTGTTCGTAATAAAACAAAATAAGACATATTCAACTACGAAGAGAAAGAAATTCCATCAAAATAATATTCAATAGAAAATGAATAATCTAGAATTGAAATTTTAAAGTTTATCTTTTTCTTTTGTTGAATCTTCATATATTACAATTCATAATGAAAGAAAACTATTTGATATATCCATTTGATGATTTAAAAAGAAAATATGTAAGCAAGATCGTTTTATAGATATGGTTGTTCGTAGATGAAGAGGAGTGTTTATCAACAAATAAGTTATCTTATATGAAAAAGATATGATGAAAATACAACTTTCTTCGTAACATCATGATGAATAGTAATATGTCATGTTGTGTTTAACATAGAAATATTGAGATGGGAAAAAAAAGGTCTAAAAAAAGAAATCCTTCAACTGATAAATCGCTTTTGACTCGAGACTACATATATTATGTAGATTCGAATGAGGTAGAAATATTCTAGAAAGAGTTATTGCTGCGAAGATAGTTCACTTTTACAGTATTTTTTCAGCAGAATGCCGTGGTTCCTTTCAGAAACACTAGGAAAATCGATTTTCGAATTTCGCATTGAAACTTTGCATACAAATAGACCTGAGTAGGTATAGTTTCTTGTGAAAGTATCAGATCTTTTTCTTGTTTCTATATTCAAATACAGCTATGGTAAAAGTATATCTTTTACATCATCCATATATACAAACAGAGTCGACGTTTGTATTTTAGGATAGAAGCAAATCAAAAGACTTGAAAATTTTACAATAGTCCATTCTTGTCAAAGCCTGTCTCTGTATAAAGTTTTAGGTCAACATTCGAAAATCAATTTTCCTAGTGCTCCTAAGAGGAACTACGACATTCATTATAAAAATACTGTAAAAATGCAGTATCTACGCAGTGATAAGCTACGGACATGACCTCATTACGGAATATTCAAAACTAAAGCAAGTTTATTTAATGCGCATAGTTTCAACTTTAAAGTGATTTATCAGTTAGAGAACTTCGCTCGTAAGTTCTATTTTGAATATGAATTCATAGAAATTCAAAATCAGTAAAATATATGGTAAAAAAAGAAGAATAAAGTTATAAATTATCATGTATTGTTTAATTAATTGTTCGAATGAATAATGATTCAATGTATTAATCATGTTAGAACATTATAAATAAATTTAATTATATCAAATATTTGTCTTTTATTTATGTCATAACTTATCTATTTAAAAAATAGAAAAAAAACAAGCTACACATGTTATTTAGGCTTCTAAAAGATGTTTTATCTTTTGTTTAACGTTACTCACATTATACAGATAACAGAAGCATAAAAAAATTAAAAGAAGTTTATTTAACTGATTGTATAAAAAGAAGCTAAAACGAGACTTCTATTGATAACAATATCTTCGTTTGTTTCTTTTTTCTAGCCCTTATCTTTAAAATTATAGCAAATAAAAACCGAAGACAGTAGTTATTTTGTTTTTATTACTATTATTTTTTATCACTGGTGTCTTGTGATGCTACTACTCTAATTTGCGCGTAAGAGTATAGCAAATATAGTTTTACAAAATGATGTCTAGATTTATATTTCTTATTTTGTACATATTACAATACATTACTTTCACTAATGGACAAAAGGTTATACCAATGAAGGCAGAGGATTCATGTGTACAATCAACAATTAGTGTTCGTTGTCAACAGAATTATGTTGTTGTTGTTCGAAGTGCTTTTTACGGTGTTGCACAAATAGCTGGTTCATGTAGCTATACAACAGGTGATTGTATTGCTGATGCAATGAGTATAGTAACATGTACATTAGATACTCTTCAATGTAACATGTATGCAGCAAGAAAAAAGCTACCGCAATGTAATGATCAATATAGTAGTTACATTCATGTTGAATATGAGTGTGTACCCATATCAATGGATGATTCAACAAAAGAATATAATGTTTGTCAAAATAGTACAGAAATAACAAGTGATCATGGAATAATACGAAGTCCCGGGTATCCAACACAATTTCAAACAACAACAAGCGAATGTTTTCGTGCAATACGTGTACCAAATGATAAAATAATTCGTCTATGGTTAACTGAGCTATACATTGGTTCAATGTTGGGAACTTGTGCTAAAGATCATGTCTATGTTGTTGATAGTGTCCAAACATATCGACATTGTGCTCGAGTTCGATATGCTTATCCATATTTATGTTCATCGACAATTATTATTCAATATTATGTTACAACACAATTATCAATCTATCGTGGAATGAGAATGTATTTCGAAATAGTTGATCGACCTTCAAATGATACTTGTCCAAATATAGATGGAACAGTAACACCTGTACCATCTATAACACCAACAGTAACAACTATGAATCCAAGTCAAACTACAACTATGCCCATTTATGTTTTACTTGGTATTGCATCACCTGTTCGAAGTTTTCAAATTTGTCGAGGTAAATCATTTTATTTATTAAATATCAAAAAGAAGAGAAAAAAAACGAAAATTCTAAATTCTTCTTTTTTAGGTCAATCATTTAACATTCAATGCCCAACTAACTATGGTGTAGTTATTACTACAAATATATTTGGTGTTACTCCATCTGGTCAATGTGAACAACATGATGCATCGAAACATTGTTTTGATACAACAGCTCCAACATTTACATGTCGTCGAAGTTGTACGTTTTTCTATCCAGGAAACCAAGTTGTTTCATCATGTGGTGGTAGAACTGCTGTTTATCAATATGTTGAATATCAATGTATACCAACAAATACTGAACTTGTTTCACCAAATACTTCATGCCCATCAGATGGATCGAAAATTCCAATATCAATTAATCGTCGTGGTCGTTTTCAAACATATGGTTATCCAACTTTTACAAGAATGAATTGTAATTATCGAATAAAAACTAATGTGGGTTATATTATGAATTTTTATGCACTTGATATTAGTTTAAATGATTTTTCGACTGAATGTAAATCAAATAAAATAACATTTATTGAAGATGGTGAAAGTGAAGGTACAGATTTTTGTGAAGAACGTTCTTATAATTTAATTTATTCAAGTTGTTCAAATGAACTTGATTTACGTTATACTGCTAATGATGAAACAACATTTTTTTCTTCTGGTGCTCAATTATATATTGAAAGTCAAGCACGTCCATCTGATTGGTCTTGTGGTAAACCTGTAATAACATCACCTCCAACAACTATTCGAACAACACCATTTACAACACAAACAGCAGTAGTTTTAACAAATGAAACAAACATGTTTGCACGTGATGAAATTGAACATGATATTTGTTTTAGTAGCTCATTAAGTTATAGTTGTCCATCTGGTTATACATTCATGATAATAGGTGCTTTTTATGGTGTTAAAAAACAACCATCAAATAAATGTGGATTTGTTCAAGGTGATTGTGTACAAGAAACATTATCAACATTAACACAATGTCGAAATGATTTACCTACTTGTTTTATATCATATTCAACTAGACGTCGACTAGCACTTTGTTCAGATCAATATGCTGATTATTTTCATATAACTAGCCAATGTGTACCAAGTAAATCAGTTGGAACTGTATCAAGTATAACAACATTTGATATTTGTGATACAAATAATCCTATTGCAAGTATACATGGAGTTGTTACTAGTCCAAATTTTCCAACTTATAAACAAACAAATAATGAATGTAGAAGACCACTTATGGGTATAACGGATAGAATAGCAAAAATTTGGATTAATGAAATGGCTGTATCAAGTGGTGGACAAGGTCGCTCAGATGGTATGAGTTTTATTATAAAAATTGTTTATTTTTTCTTTTCTAAATATTAATATTCTTATTATTTAGAATATTCAAATGAACCTGATTTAGTTATTTCTAAAAATGATGATACAAATAATTTAGATGATTTAGAACGAATAAATCCATCTATTCGTGATACTTGTGTCAATGATTATTTAATAATAAATGCTCCACATCTTGCTTATGTTTATTGTGGTACACGTAAAGTAGCGATTGCTCCAATTTGTGCTACAACTATAGATATTCAATATAAAACAACATCATCACCAAACTCTTTTTATAAAGGTTTTAAATTTTATTTTGAATGGATTCCAAGACCAATGCAAATAACATGTGGTAATCCATTACCATCATCAACAACACCTATTAATGAACAAGTGCCAGATTGGGCACTAAATTTAGAACTTTCACCAATACTTTCTGCACATGTTTGTCTTGGAACAGCAATAACTTTACGATGTCCTCGTGGTTCTGATTATGTTCTGTCTATCATTGAATCAAATTATGCTACAACAGGTACAGGTCAATGTGAAATTCCATCACCAACTCATTGTCATCAAGAAGCTTCACTTGGTTTAACATGTACACAATCATGTTTTATTGAATATGATATTCCAAAACCACTTGTTCAATGTGGATTACTAGATGCTGATTATCTTAATATAGATTATGAATGTATACCAACACGTTTACCAAATAATGAAAATCCAATTGATATATGTGGATCAACAACAACAAATACCATTGCACTCGATAGAGTCATGATGGTTAGTCCACAATATCCCATATTACCTGCAACTGTACGTAGTTGTTCAAAAAAACTTGAAGCGCCAACAAATAAAATATGGATGATCTATATAGTTGATTTACATTTGGAAGCCGGACTGATTGATAATACTGAATGTGATAGAGCATCATTAACTGTTAATGATGGAAAAGATAGACGTGTACTTTGTGGTTTACGACAACCTGAATTAGTTTTAATTAGTTGTTCAAATATAGTTGACTTTAGTTTTGTTTCAACTCATCAAGCAATTGGTTATCGTGGTTTTAAAATTTTTTCTCAAACTATTGATGTACCTGTTGGTTGGACATGTACACCAGATGGTTTTACAACAACAACAAAAAGAACAACAACTCGTCCCCCAACTACCACAAGTTTATTACCACCTAGTTATCAAAGTAAATTATCTATAAAATTAAATAAAAAAAAATCTATTTTTAATTTTTTATAAATTTATTTATTTCTAGTTGCTGCCTATGGTGGAACAACAAATAGTACACGTCAATATTGTAAGTTTCCATTTATATATCAAGGCAATTCACAATCAAATTGTTTAAAACTCGATCCACCAAGTTCAATCCCAGGTCAAGGTGCTGGTGAACCTTGGTGTTCATTAACAAGTAATTTTGATACTGATCGTCAATGGGGATTTTGTGATTTAGGTGTTACTGAGTCAACATTATATGATATATGTCGTAGTCAACAACAAACACTTCGATGTCCATCTGGTTATGTTATTGATATAGTAACAGCTGATTATGCAGCTAAACCCAATGGAAATACTGGTGCAGGTGCATGTGTTTATGATGTCAATGATTGTTTTCAAAATGATGCATCAACTGTTCAAAGTACATGTGCTGGTAAAGCATCCTGTGTAGCATATCATTTTTCGAAAACCTTAGCAACATGTCAAAATCGACCATCAGCTTATTTACATATTGATTATAAATGTATACCGAATGATATTTCTGGTATAACTACATATGATATGTGTAATAATAATTTATTACCACAAGGTAATACCCGTCGTGGATTTATAATTTCACCGAGTTTTCCAAATACACCAAATAATATTGATTGTACATTTAATTTACAAACATTAAAACCATATCAAGATATTCATCTTTATATAATTGATATGGATTTAAATGCTCCGAATTTACTTGGACAAGACTGTACAAAAGATCGCTTAATTATATCAGCTGATAATAATAATTTGGAAATGTGTGGTAAAACATATACAAATTTTCTACTTAATACATGTCATTCATCTGTATCATTACGATTAATTCGAACAACAGAAGCACGAGGACGTGGTGTAAAATTTTATTTTGAATTTCGTGAAAGATCACCATCAATAGAATGTATTCCATTAGCGACTACTACTACATCACGTTCATCAACAGTAACACCAACAGGTACAACAACTGCTTCATTACCAATTTATTATCCTGGTCCAAGTTCTCGTATGTTTAAAACTTTATGTTATCCAGATTTTTCAGCTTTACTGGGTTCAAATAATTTTCAATGTCCATCAAATTATATAATTGTTATTCATCGTGCATTTTATGGCAAAGGTAGTCGTTGTGATTATAGCGTTGGTGATTGTACAACTGAAGCTGATAATGTTTATCGATTATGTTCAGGAAAACAAAAATGTTCCGTTTCATTTTTAAATCAAGTTCCTTTACCAGAATGTAATAAAGTTGTTGCTAATTATCTTTTTGTTGAATATCAATGTTTACCAACACCAACAATTGTTCAAAATAGTGTAGATTTATGTACAGGTCAAATAAATGATGTTGCTGGTAATAGTGGTATATTCAAAAGTCCATCATATCCATCGTATACACAAACACAATGTCCGAATGTAACATTAAGTACAGTAGCTGGTTCTGATCTTATTATATTTATGTATTTACTTGATCTTGATATTGGTGTACCTGATCCAACTACAGGTAATTGTACAAATGATTATTTATCATTATCATATCAATGTAATAATCAATTATACAATCGACGTTTATGTGGTACAAGTTCAACAGAACTTTTATTTAGTACATGTTCACCAACAGATAAAATTTTTGCTTCATATAATTTATTAAGTCAAAATTCACAATCTCAACGTGGTTTTGCATTACTTTATCAAATTATGTCACAATTTATTGCACCTACAACTATTCCAACAACAATAAAAACAACAACATTATTAACAACACCTAGTGGTCCTGGTCCAACAAGTACATTTATTACATTAGAAACAAAATGTGTTCAACAACTTCTTTTATTACGATGTGATCGACCTGGATATGTTCTTGTTTTACATAAAGTACAACTTGCTGCAAGTAAAACTGGTGGTTGTACTTTTTCTCCGAATGATTGTTTTGAAGATCGTACTCATTTACATAATGCTTGTGGTGGTAAATCATCATGTTATATATCTGCACCTTCACAAGCAATGAAATCATGTAATGGTACTAAATCAAATTATGTATCTGCTGAATATCAATGTATTCCAACACGTCCAAAAATTACACGTGATGTATGTTCATCAACAGGTTCATCTGAAAAAGTTGAAGGTGGTGCAATCATTTCATCATTGAATTATACATCAGAATCTAGAAACTGTAAAATACAATTACAAACAAATGAAGTATTAGGTAGTCCAATTCATAAAGCATTTAAAATCTTTATTCTTACATTAAATTTACCAATACGACCAACATTACGTGAACAAGGTGCACAATGTGGTCCATTCGATCCATCGATCGAGATCGATGGTACCGAATTAGGTCCAATACGTTTATGTGGTAATAGTCATACACGATATTTACTTGAAACATGTTCAAATATTGTTGAAATTCGTTATAATAATATATTGATGAATACTGGTACATCAAAATATAAAGGTTTTGAAATTTATTTAGAATCTATTCAACATGATATATGTCGTCCAACAGCTCCACCTGCAGTTATAACATCACCATTTAATATTACAAGTCAAGTTGCTTGTGGATTAACCAGTGGACGTGAAACTGTTAATTTTGCTTGTACAAATAATTATGGTCTAGTCTTTTTACAATCATATCATTTCGTTACAAAACAGCCTAATCAATGTGATGTAACACAATTTACATGTGCATATCCAGGTGAACAACCACAAGCACAATGTTCAGGTCAACAAACTTGTTCATATAGGCATCCAATACCACTAGTATCACCATCAAATGCATGTCAAAATAGTCAAGCTGATTCAACACAATTTTATTTTCAATGTTTACCAATGAGACCATCATTAGAATATCCAGCAGTCAGATTATGTCTTAATTCTCAAACTTCAAAGGAAATGGGTTTTATTGAAACACCTGATTATCCAAATACTTATCAACTTGGAAAACGACAATGTTCATTAACTATTCGAATACCAAATAATAATGATGGTAAAAAATATTCTATTTATCTTTATATAATCGAATTATCTTTACGTGATACTTCAACAATAAATCCATCATCAGCTGTTGAATGTTTTGATTCAATAAAATATACTGATGGTGATAGAACAAGTTCATTATGTGGAAAAATTGATCAACCTGTACTAGAATATTATACAGATAAAAAAGAACTTACTTTAACACTTAATATATCAGAAACATTACCGTTTAGTGAATGGAATAATTGGCAAGGTGCACGATTGTTTTATATTGTTGGAGATCAATCTTTACCATCTTCACCAACATCAGTAAACATTCCAACAACAACGACAACAACGACAACAACACCAGCAACACCTCCAGAGCAGACAAAACCACCAACAAATAATAAATCAAATCCTGCAGGTCTTATTGTTGGAATTATTATTGCTATTTTGGTTGTAATTGGAGGTATAACTGGTTTTGTTTTTTATCGTCGTAATTTATTATCAAGATTAAGTAATACACCTACAGTAAAATATGATGCTGATATGATTACAGTCGATGGAGCTACGATAAATGGACCGGATGAAAAGCGAACTAGTATTCCGAAAATTTCATTAACAGGACCAGCAACAAAACCATATATCAGTCCATTTTATAGAAAATCACAAAGTACTGAAAAACAAGAAACAGAAACTGCAACAGATGCATAAGACTATGTTCCAATATTATTTCTTTTCTGCAGCTTTTTTTTTTTTTGTAAACGTTAAATTTATAATTCATCGAAATAAAAATTAAAACCGAAAACAAAAAAAAAAATAAATTTTTTTTCATCTATATTAATTAGTAGTGCATCGTCCTCTTTATTTTTCGAAATGATTCTATTTTTCTTCAGAAAGTTTTTTCTGCACAATTATAGACAAATGAAAAATCAACGATATGTATTTATCCTTGAAAGAAAAAAAGAAATTCTTGTAAATTATTTCATATTTCTCATGTATGTTTTCCGTGACTATCATAAAGATCAACATATGTAAATGAATGTCTTTATTTTAATTAAGATATTTATAAGATGAACCTTCAAAGATTTCTTCGAGAACTATTTGTTATCGAGTATGGTTTTTTTTTCATTATATTCATTAAAAGAAACAAAGTGACTTTGAAATAAATGAAAAAATGAGAAGTTTTTAACAATGATTGACTGTTTCATTCATATAAGAGACTTTGGCACAATATTATTAAATTTTTTTTTGTTGAAATTTTCTTGTTTATATGAATAAAAAATAAGAGCAAAGTGTTTAAAAAACAAAGAAAAAAGAACAAGCAAATGAAATAATCAACAAATTTATTTGTAACATAAAAATTTTTTCTTTTTACATACTTTTTCTTATGTCTAAATACAGAAAAAGTTGTTGATATATGCCAATTAAATACAGGTTTTGACGACAACGAACAAATCGACATTCTATGTCCAGATTATCAACAAAACCTGCATTTATGGTCTATGATGATATAGGATTTCTAATATTTTTTCATTTAATCAGTTGGATGACATCAGCTTGCGTAGAGAGAGAGAAAGAGAGAAGGAGAGAGAACCAGTTTGTTTAGTTGTCATTTGATGAGTACTTGCTCGCGCTATTCAGCTGTTGAAATTTTTCTTTAGAATATTCTTCATGCAGTTGATGACTAAAGGAAGTTATTACATTTTTATAAATACAAACGTTCTATATTATATATTGCATCACAAGAGAAAAAAGTAGAATAAAAAAAAGAAAAGAAAAAAACATTGTAAAATAACATATTCTCCTATTTATTTATTTGTTCGATTGTTTGTATGTTTTTTTTCTCTCATCTATGTATTTTCAACAAAATAAAAGAAAAAAAAAAAGAAAAACACAAGAAAAACTAGTTACTGTATCAAATAGAACCAACACTGATTTATTTTCTTCTCATCATCGGCTAGTTATAGTTGTAAAATCCTCATAAAATGTTCGCGTTTGTCGACATATAAAATGTCTAATAGCCGGCACAAATCTAATTTCCCTTAGGCTGTTCTCCGGTATTCGTGCATAGGTGTTATGTTTGTGTGTGAGTAACAAAAAAAGTATCGCTTCTAGTTATAACTCGATGATGTGATAGGTAGTCTAACAGAAGAGTATAAGGGTGAGTCTTTTGGGGAATCGTCATTTATCGTTGACGCTCGTTTTGACTATAAAAATGAGTTTCCGTTTCTTCTTCTTGTTCTTTTTTTTCTTCTTCTCTTTCTCATGTCGTCTTACATACTCAATTCTTCACGCATTCTTACTAAAGTTTTAACATTTTAAGATAGTAATAACACAAAAAAAACGAGAAAAAGAAAGTTTCTGCATGATAAACTTGCCCGTTTTTTCCTGTTGTTGATTGTAGTAATGCTTGAATGAAATAAGTGTTTCTTTTCTTCTTCTTTTTTTGTGATTATTGCTTTCAATATATTCACTCTTTATATATAGATGAGCGGTTGTAATTTTGAATAAACTTTAATTTCTTTTTCTTTTTTGTTGTTTCTTTTTCTTGAAATTGAACAAACCTAATCAAATCTATATACATTCATTTTTCATCTTTACTTTAAGTATCATGATAATGTTTGGTGTATTGACACTTGACAAACAGACAAGAACTGTTGGCATGTATATGTATGCGTATAAAATAATGATATATTATCGAAGGTTTTTTTTTCTTATCAAATGTGTATAGAGAATATCTATTTGCTATTCAAAAAAGAAAATGAATTTTTGTTAGACAATATTTGTAAGAAAAATAAAGTTTGATCAAGAAATGCGGAGGAAGAAAACGAACATCTCATTTTTGTTGTCTTTGCTCGTTTCTTTACGTCCTTGCTCGATAAAAACGAAATGATAATTGTGTTATTCATTTTTTAGTACAAATGTTCTCTAACACATTCTTTTATTTGCTGTTGAAGATTGCTGAATAAATAGACAAAAGAAAATAATAAAGACTATTATTATCATCATTTAAATTGATAAATGTAGGGGATAATCATTTTCATTTATATGCTTTGGATGCCTTGTGTATATATAACGATATATAGATAAAAATTAAAATTGTCTTGGGTTTAATGAGAATAAAAATATCGTACTGATAGATAGTATGAAGACTTGGAAGATACTCGAAAGTGTCTAAATCTAAAGTCAAAATCAAGTGATTGTTTTTAGAATTGTAGAAATTAATGTTTGTTGCTTCATTCTTGTTGACTGCATTTGTCTTCTACTAAACATATAGTAAACGAATGAAAGATGAATTAGATTACTACTGCTTATTAAGAAGTAAGTCAAACAATAGAAGATATTCTACGATGGTAATCACATATTCTGTTGTAGAAGATCCTTCATGATTATGATAATTGTTAGAGTTGTTTTATTGATACTTTATCGTAGTAATCATTTTTCTACCTTTTCTTTACTTTCAATTATCAATGAAACATAAATGAAAGAGTCTTGATCCGGTTGTGATAAGAAAAAAAATATTGTTTCAGATTTCAACCTTAGCTAAAATCTTTCTGATATAGAGGTCAATATTATTCTTTGCTCAAGTCGATAAGTCTGAATTTCTTTTTGATATACTATGTCGTGAATTCTTACTTCAAAAGGAACTTGATCATTCTTTTTTGGTCCCGCTCATGTCTCTATAAAACATGCAATACAAAGCTTTTAATCGAACCACATGCACATTAAGTGTCTACTTAGAACATACCAAATGTAGTAGCAGTAGTTCTACAATACCTGACAGAAGGTCCGAGGGAATGTTCTCTTTCTGTATACTGTTAATTTAACCTGTGTTCTCTATTTCTATAATATTTCACTATTCTTCAGTTAGTATAGCAATATTGAAGTTTTGATCAAAGTTGATCACTTCTGATTTAGATCAATAATGAAAACGTTTGCTTTTACATGCAAGTCCATACTGCATTCTATTTTGTTTTTGACAGTCATATTTCACCTCCGAGAACTATTAAAGGAAAATATTAATAACTTCGTTAAGATCAAGAAGATGTTGAGAATGAAACACGATTCGACGAACCTGTAATCGAATAATATTTGAAATGATCGAACAGATTAATTGCTGTATTAATCATGATTCCTATATTCAAGTTGGTTAATTTACAACCACAAACTAATCTAAGTCATAGCACCATTCTAGGAATAATCTTCGATGATCATAAACTTAAAAATATTATCGTTTGTTGAATATCGAAACAAGTTACCTTGACAATGATTATGAAAAATATAAGTTGTTCTTCGTCTTCAAACTTTTCTCATCCTTCACATAACCATATACATAATCTTTCAATTGTTCGGTGAGATGAAACCTGGTCGTCAAAAAACAAAATTTAGCGTTGCAAGAACTTTAATACAAAAACGAAAGTTTTCCATATTGATCTAAATTAATAGTTAACAGCTTTCATCAAAATCCAATGTTATTATAGAAACTGAAGAATAGTGAAATATTATAGAACTCTATAGCACTATTTGAACAAACAATGTACATTGGATAGGTCACACATAACACTACGATAAATAATTAAAATATCTTTGCTTTGGTTCTCTCGAATGCGTTGATTTTCTCATTAGCTACAGAAGATTATTTAAAGTTTTTTTCTTTATACGGACAACATTAACAAATACTACATTCCAGTTATATCTTTTGTCCTACTAAAAACATTGCACATATTGTCAAGTAAGAAAAATACATATGAAGTGTTCATAGATAATTTTCAGTAGACATCTAAGAGAATAATAATAAGAAGAAGCCAAAACAACCGCATAGAGGACGTTTTTAAAACTAAAAGCCAGTGTAAATATTGAAATTCGTTTCTCATTGCAGCTGTTTGAGTACTAATTTTCGTGCAAAAACCAATGTGTCATGTTTGAAAATTCAAAATTTTGTGACAATTGCCTTTTTATTTAATTAGTTATAAAAATTTACTCTATGTACATCAATATAGTATCATTCATAAAGTTTGTTTTGATTTCATCTTCTTCTTTCTATCTTAGATAACAATTGAAAATGATTTATCAAACAGCTTAGACATATTTTTTACTTGACCATAGGTGAAATTTCTTTAATAAGGCCAAAAATATAACTCGACAGTAGTATTTATTTACATTATGCGTATGAAAAACTAAAATTTCTAAGACTAATCGTAACAATCAGTCTATTTGACTCGAGCCGAAGCGAAGATATTGTAATTTTTTTATTGTAGTACTATATATGGCCTGCTCTATATATAGAGAAAACTTTCTCAAGCCCCCTATAAGGTATTATAGTGCTTCTGTCACTACTTTTAGTACGTCTTAAATAAATTTGAAATCATTTAATATGCAATTATCTTGTATGCCATGTTCTCACTTCATTTGATCTTGTTGTATTAGTGTACAAACTACAAATTATAGAAATATCGAATAAGTTCTTTACATATATGTCTTGTATTTGTATTTGATAGATAGTTCAATTTGTTTTTATTGATATAATAATTGAATTCTTTTTCATTTATTTTCCACTAAAATTTTTTTATTACAACAAATTTTTTTCTGATGCACGACAGAAAATGATAAAACACGAATAAAAGGTTGATACGCAGATAAAATATACAAAGAAAAAAGAAAGAAACTAATAGTTATATAGTATATAAATCCATTCATATTTATTTCTTTTTCTTTTTATTGTTACTTGGTGGTGGTGAAGGAGCTGATCGTTTTTTTGATACAACTGCAGAACGTTTTTTTGAATCGCCACCTTTTTTCTTACTTCGACCACCATTATCCGAATCATAATCCACTTTTTCAGCATCAGCTATAAGTAAATTAATTAAATTTAAAAAAAAAAAATTTCTTTATAAAATCTTAGTTACCTCTTCTTGCTTCTTCTTCAAGTTCACTCCAACTTTTTCCTGATTCTTCATCCGAACCCAAATTTTCTGATTCATCTAAAATATTTTTGTAAAAATTATCTTTCTGAAGAAATCAAACACCTTCATACCTGAATCACTTTCTTTATCTTGAAAATCTTCTTCATCATCATCATCTTCTTCTTCACCTGAATAGTCACTTTCTGATCCTTCTTCTCCACTATCATCTTCTTCTGGATTATAATCATCTTCATTCATATCCGAATCATCATCAGGGCCGTCTTCTTTTGTATCATCAGTATCCGCTTCTAAAAATGTCCAACCACCTTGAACGAAAAATCCATTTAAATCATCTGTTATTGTTTTCATAATTTTTGCCCAATTCAATGATTGTGGACCTTCTGTATAACAAATTTCGCATGAACTTAAAAAAAAAACAAAAGAAAATAGATAAATTTTTTTCTAATAAATATAACGAATGATTGAAGATAAATTTAGACGAACTTTATCATGTCAAACATTTTCCAGAGGAATATCAAATGAACAAGCAAATATCTCTTTGAATAAAGTGGATATGTTAATGATTAGTTAGTTGTAAGTAATTTGTTGATAGGGAATGTTTTGGTAAAGAAAACCGAGTCAATTTAGGCAGTCTTTTCAATTTCTATGAAAAACAAACTTGTAAAGTAATCTCAGACATCCTTGAATGATTGTTACGGGGCTCTTGCTCTTCACTTTGTAAAGGACAAGTTTGCTTTTAATTCTATGCAACAATATCAGTAATATCATGTATGTAGTAAAAGAAATTATAGCAGCAAAAAACAGCGCCAATTTTCACATCTCTGAAAGGTCAACTCATAACTTCTAAACTTGAAGTTCTAAATGAAATTTCGAATCCATACTCTGAAAAAACATTAAACCAATGTTATCGAATTTCTGTAAACTCTTTCAAGGGATCCTCTCTTACTTTCCACGGTTTTTGGAGAATGGCTCACCAAAAATATTTGAAACTCTCACGGTAGATAGATCTCGATGAATAGAGCAAAAATTCTCATAGATCCCAATCCCCAAAACACCTCTCTCTCGCACAAAAAATATCTGGGTCATAAAAGCGAAACACCAATTTTTCGTACAAAGGATTTTGAAAGTTGGATTTAATAAAAATACAGACTAACAACATAGAGCTCTCCTTTATATGCATTTGACAGATGACCCTTCTAAAGTATACCAAAAATTAAAGAAAATTTTGATTTAAATATTCGAAAAGAGTAGTCCTATGAAAAATATTCGTTTTCTTTTCTCTTCTCTTACTTTAACCAGTTTTTAATTGGATCAAGTTCATTCATTGGTATTGATTGTATACTGTATGTTTTTTGTGAATAATCTTTCATAATAAAAACCATATCAAAATTTTTTAATTGAAAATGAACACGTTCAAAATGAACAAGCTCAACTTCATCAAGCACAACAACAAGTGGAGGCTTTTAAAGAAACAAAAAATAAAAATTGTCTTTTTTTTGTTCTTTTTTTTAAAATTTTACCCATTCAGTTAATTGCACAACACATGTTGTTGTTGGCATAATTAAAACCATTGATCTATGTGGTGTACCATGAAAACCCAACGCACGAAATGGTTGTTCAAATTCAAATGGAAAATTTTTTTGTTGTATTACTTTATCAATAAAACCTTTAAATGCTGCTTTTAATTTATTACGTAAATCACGTTCAGCCTATAAAAATAAATTTTCTCATAGAAATTTTGTTTGTTTTTTTTTTAATCAAAAAATAAAAATACAAACTTGTTCAGCTAAAACATCATCTTTATCATGCATATTTCGATGTTTACCAAGATCCGTTGTTAATTCTCCAACTTCAGTATAAAATTGTACATCAATTTGTTTTCGTTTACCAAATACAATAGCATGTTTTAAATGAAAATGTATTAATATAATCATTTCATTATCACATGGTTGATAAAATGCATGTGCAACATTTGAATAAAGTATATCAATTTTATCTCCACGTACTGATGTATAACGAAAACCATTTGTATGTGCTTCAAGTGTACCATTGATTTTTTTATTTGCTAAACTTGGACGAATATAAAGATCTTTTAATTTTGGATTTGTTTTACTTGGATTAAGAATTAATGCTGCTTGTTTAACAACACCCTTGATAAGACATTAAAAGAATTTAATTTATAGCAGAAAAAAAAATAATAACTTTAACAAACCTCCATTTGTTTTCTCTCTTGTTCTTGCTCTTTAAATTTTTTTTGTGTTTCAAGAATTAATTTATGTACATGAGAAAGATTATTTGATGCTGGTGCAACATCATCTTTTTTATCATTCGATGCACGATATGTTCTAAAAATTATTTTATAGAACCAAAAAGCAATATTTTACTTTTTATTAATTTATATTTTCACTTACAATTCTTTTATATAGACATTTTCCTTATCAATAGAATCAGCTTGTTTACCAATGCCACCAGGATTAAAAAAATTTATACGTAAATATATATATTCACCTTCGACAGCTAATGATACATTCTAAATTATATATAATTAAATTATAAATTGAATCAATTCGAACTTTTGATTATTAGGTTAATATATATGTAAAATCTATTTTTTTTTGTAAATTTCAAGGTCTTGATGCAAATAAATCGAAAAGACTCATGTTTGGAAAGATGGGGAAGAGATCGAAACTTTGACAGAAAGTGTTTTTTTTATTCTCAGAGTGACAGAAGTGGTGATTGGAGTAACAACGAAACTTACTCTGACCTGACCCTTCCCACAATCGACGATTTATCCATTCCTTCGTCTATCCTATTCACCTCGCAACGACTTATTTTTATTTTATTTGATGCTAGAGAAAGGTAAATGATGTTTCAAAGTTAGCACGAAACTATAAAAAATTGACAGAAAGTTGGACATTTTTGAGAGAAAGAGCATCTTCCCTAATCGGAAAATCTGTTTGGGATAGAGAGATGTAACTTATAGTGCTAAGTCTTAGCACAAAATACTTGCTCATTTTTTGATCACTAAAAGGCAACTTGTTAAAGCCAAACAGCATTTAGTTAGAATCAGAAACTTGTTCTATTTCCGAGCGCCTGTATTCAGAATTTCCTTTTCAAATAAGATTGGATAACTATTATTAAATTTTATAAAGAAAAAAAGACCAAAACTGTGTCTATACAAGGCAAAGTAACAGTTTTGACGTAGTCTTTAGTTCTTATTCTGGAATAGCTTCAATTCAACATTGAAGTATTGCACTAAGAGAAGTACCATATTATTCATGTCTACTAAAAAAGCTAATTTCTGTTGAATTTGATGTTGGTAAAAATTTATCACAGATCCATTTTTGGAAAAAATCCATTTCTGAAAAAACTTTCGTTCTTTTCTTACTTTAATTGTTGAAATATGGAATGGTGTAGGCATTCCATTAATCGGTAAAATGACTGTTTCATATTGTTTATCTAAATATGAAATATATACATATCTTTAAAATCAGTTCTTTTAATTATCACTTACCAACATAAAGTTTTAAATCATGAATATCCGGATCTTTTGGTAATTGTCCTTCCGATTTATATGAATTAAGAATTTTGCGAGTTCTAAATTAAATTTCATATAATAATTGAAGAACATTTTTTCTTGATCTAAATGAATATTACTTTTCCGATGATACTTTATCATCTTGTGATGTTAATCGAGCTTCAGCTCGTTCATTTAATCTACGTAATAATGTTTTTTGATATTCTTGACGAGATTCTTCAGGTGCGGATGCATCATTCTAAATATTAGAAATAATAAAAAAAAAATTAACAGAAGAAACAAACAATACGATCGTGTTTACTCGAGGTTTTTCTTTAGTAGCTGCTCGTCTTGGTGCTATTGCAGTTGTTTCATTATCTTGTTCTTCTTCTGATCCATCATCTCTTAAAATAATTGCAATATGACTTATATCTTTTTTTGATGATGTATATAATGTGCAAGGTTCATTCTAGAACAAACAAAAATTTTTTTTTTTATTGAGAAATTTTGTTTATTTTAATTTTTACTTCATTAACAAGAATAGTGTCGCCAATAAATAAAGCATAAATTTTTGACTGATCATCTTTTCCATCAGGATTATCCAAACCAGAAAAGCCAATGCTCACTTGAAAAGTCATGCCTATGAAACAAAGATAAGAAAAGCAAAATTCAATTTTATATTAACTTTTTATTTACCTTTCTTTGCTTTTACTGTACATTTACTTGTTATAGCAATAGAACTTTCTCGAAATTCAATACCTAATGCTGTTCTATAAAAGTCAATTTTAAGTATATAATTTGTTCTGTTATATGCAAAAATATAAAAACAAACCCTAAATTATTTGTCATTTTATTGGCAAGTTCTGGTCGTTCATTCTCGACTTTTTCTCGTACCAATTTGTATACATCACACAATTGTACACCTTAAAATGAAATAAACTAATAGGAAAAAAAAAAGAAGAAGAACCGATATCTTACCATGTTTTAATTCATTTATTATAAGTTCTTCACATTCAATTAAAAATTTATATGTATTTTTCATTTGTTCTGATGGATTGACAAGTAATGTACGAACAAGATTTGAACAATATGATTTATATCGAATTCCAAATGCACAAACTATTGATGAACCACCATAATGAAGAAGATTGTTATCACTAAAAATAGAATAAAAAAAAGTCTAAAAAAAAATCAGACATTTTTATTAATCACACAAGAATTTTCAACCTATTTATTCATTCTTTTAATTTGAAATCGACTAACTTTCAATTCAAAGCCAATCAAGGATCTATTCAAACAGTTCAGTTCTTGCAGCGTTTCTAGATTGCCAAATTGCTTTTGATTCGGAATTATGTGCATTATGTAAGTGTTAATGAAAAGACTTTGAAATAATAGCTTGTTACTACTGAGGTAGTATATTTTTTAGCAGAATGATATGACTCTTCTCATCGATACCAAACAAACTGAGTTTCAAATTTTGACTTGAAACTTTGCATAGAAACATGTCTTAACGAGACGAATTCATTATTCTACTAAAAAAATACAGTATCTTGTTAATAATATAGTTATTGGTCCAGACTCTTTTCATCAGAATCTACATAATGCACATAGTCTCAAATGAAAAGCGATTTGACATTTAGAAACGTTTCCTCATGAGTTGTTCTGCTTTGGAAACGGAATTTTAGATATAGAACAAAAATTATGATGATAGCTTATTTTCAGGAGCTGAACTGTTCAAACAAATTTTAACAAAAGGTATTTCTTCATTACTTCTCTAATGTACTGTTATGTAATAAATAAAAATAATTTCTAATGATTTTTATTCCGTACGTCAATTGAACAAAAATATTTTTTAACTCTTTCAAAGATGTTCTTTCTTGAAAAAAAAATTATTATTTTGTGAAGAATCAAACGAAAACTATCGACTGAAAATTTATATCCAACCCAAAATTTTCTCCTACAGCGACAAGAAAAATTCTGTTTAACTCTTTTGTGGAAGACTACGAATAATGAATATATATTTTTATAGATAAACGTTTTGCTTACACAGAAGCACTAAATTTTAAATTATAATTTCCACCACTTTGTATAATAGCTGGATAACACATTTCTACATGATTAAGATCAGCTTTTGCAACAAATTTTTCATCGCTTAATGCTGCTTCAAGTCCTTCAGATAATTTTGAATGTTTTACTTTCTATCAGAAAAAAAACAACAGAAAATGAATAAAAAAAAAAAAGTATTCATACTCGTTCCGAATCAACTGTATTAACAATTTGATCTTTTAAATGTTTACTATAAAGTTTTCCAGTTATTTCACATGCTTTACGAATTAAACCAAGTTCTTCATTATCTTTAATAGAAAGTAAATAGCCAATCGAAGCACTTATATCAACCTAAAATTAATACCAAAGAAAACAATGAAGAAATATTTCTTTGAGAAAAATATAGATAAACTTCTTACAGTTGCAAATGAATGTTGATTTAAATAATTTTTCCATTGTTCACCAAATGTTCCATCCATTTTATCTTTTGAAAATACTCCTAATGTTTTACCTTGATGACTTTGTTTAATTTGTTCAATAATATCAGCAAAATTTTTTTCATCATTATCTTTACGTATTAAAAAGTTAAAATTTCTTGGAGCATTTTCTTTATTATTATGTTCACTTTCAATCTACGAAAAAAAGAAAATATCATTTTAATTATTTTAAATTAAAAACAAATTTACTTGTTTAAGATAATTAATTTTTTTTGAACCAGCAAATATAATTACTGAATCTTGACAAAATACAACAAGAACATCATGCATTTCATAACCGAATAACCAAGTCTGAAATATAAAAAACACAATGCAAAATATTAACCAATTGATAATGATTAATTACAAACCTGCATAGCAGCAGTTTTACTATAGGTAAAATCATCTTCTTTTTGTCCTCGTACAATAATAATTGCATCAGCAGAATGTAATGCATCATTATCATGAGTTGATGCATCAGCTCCATCTTCATGATTAGTATTCTATAACAATAACAACAAAATATAAATAAACATATAAATCTCAATGTTGATTATATGAAATATAGAAGTTTACTTACTTGCCATAATGCGTAGAGTTTACGAATACGTTCGAGACATCGAGCTCCGTCAATGAAAACGTCGGAAGGCATCTAGAAAACTAAATTTTATTATATTACTAATGTGAAACGATAAAAACGAATACTCTTCTAAAAAATCGACTGTTCTCAACTACTCAAGGTTACAAAATGAGTACAGATGAACATGAGCAACGGCAATCATTGATAATCGGATAGATTATTTTTCATTGGTCAAAAAAACAACGTATAATAATTAATTTAAAAAAACAAGAAAACATATACAATTTATTTATAAATATTAGATTTTTTCAATAAATAAATATATAATAATTAAAGTTCGATATGAAATTATGTTCTTTTGTTGTCTTGCGACATCTGCTTCAGTTTTCTAATCTTTTTTTCTATGAACTATCCTAGTTTTAATCTATTGATGACTTAAATATTTATTATATCGTAAAGTGATTAAATAAAGGAAAAGAAAAAGTTCTTCATTGAGATTTATTTCGAATAAATACCAAAAAGAAAAAAATATATATGTATTGCTTTTATGATGATCCTTGTACTGATGGAACTACTGGTGGTAAAAGATTTTGAACACCAGTGAGAAGATGTTGTAATGTTTCTTGAAGAACAGCAGGAATTTGATGAATATCATTGTTAAGAGCGTTGACATTGCTCAAGAAATTCAATAATGAAACAATAGTTGAAATTGATGTACCTTGTGGTAAAAGATGTGATACTGCTGAAATTAAATTTGTATTGTGACCAAGAGTATCTAAAAGATTACGGCTAGTACCTAAAACAATTGATATATAAATGAAACTTAAGATTATGAACGATCAAGAAATACTTTGAGATTGAACACCAGCAAGATTAAGTAATTGTTGAACTATAATTTGACCCGCTTGTCCAGCTCCACTGACAATATTAGTTAAAGTTTCATTGAGTAAAGCAGGAATTTGATGAATATCATTACTTAATTGGTGAACATTGTTTAACAAGTTAAGGATTGAAAGAACGGTCGAGATTGATGTACCTTGTGGTAACAAATGGCCGATACTTGACAGTAAGTTACCATTTTGACCAAGAGCATCTAAAAGATTACGGCTTGCAGCGTCTAGAAATAACAAAAAATGAACAAATTGATTAACATTTTCACAAAGACCTATGTGTAAAACCTACTGTGTGGTCCGATAAGACTAAGTAATTGTTGGACAACAACTTGACCAGCTTGTCCAGCTCCACTGACAATGTTAGTTAAAGTTTCATTGAGTATAGCAGGAATTTGATGAACATCGTTACTCAATTGATGAACATTATTCAACAAGTTAAGGAGTGAAAGAACGGTCGATATTGATGTACCTTGTGGCAACAAATGGCTGATACTTGACAGTAAGTTACCATTTTGACCAAGAGCACCCAAAAGATTTCGGCTAGCAGCATCTATTATTTTTAAATAAATAAAAAATGTAATAATTAAATAATTAAAAAAGATATAAGTGATTTTACTTTGATGAGTAACATTATTAACAGCACCAATTAATTGATCAATGATGATTTGACCAGCTTGACCTGTTCCATTGAGAATGCTAACAAGTGTTTGATTGATCACAAGAGGAATTTGATGAATCTACAAAACATATATTTTATTTTTTATTATTTCATTTCAAGTGTATAAACATACATCGTTGGATAATTGATGAACATTATTAAGTAAATTTAAGATTGATAAAGCTGTTCCTAAATTTGTACCATGTGTAGCTGTAGTCAATGATTGTAAAAGATTGCTACCAGACAGAAGAGAACCAAGTGAACCCAATGGATTGTTTCGAGCATTGACAGCTACAAAAACATATCAATATTGAATTTATTATAGTTTTATTAAGAGAACAACGAGAAGAAGATAGCTCACAATATATAACACATGCTTTCAAGCTTGGACAACATTCACCAACAGGAACTGGAGCAGGTGTTCCATCTGGGCAGATTTTCAGATCCATTGTGCATACAGCAAAAGTACAGTCGACGATTGCTGCAAGATAAAATCAATAAACCTTAGTTTGAAAACTAACTCAAACCCAATTCATCTCATTACGTTTGATTGGAATGATAGCAGAGTTTTTACAAGCACTTAATGATGGACAGCAACCTCCAACAGGAACTGGAGCAGGTGTACCATCTGAGCAGATCTT